AAATTAAATGATGAATAGTTTTCTAAAATCTTTAAACTACCTAAAAGATATGAATTTTAAATGCGGCAACCTGAACGCAATTAAATTATTTCATTACCAGTACAAAAATGTAAATGTGTCAACACGTGGATACCATTACCATTACTTCTGAAATGGTTGATATTGTATAGTAATATTTTTTATTATAAGAAACACTGATTTATAACATGTGTATGCATCTAGATACTTGGGCGTATAAAGATCTAATCACGAAATAACAATTCCAAATCATCAGGAATGAGAGGAGGCAGATCCGATTTTACATCATTACAATGCAATCCGGATGGGTTTTACATTTTCCAATTTTCCAAACGATCATTTGATTCTTGACATATGATTTGGTATTAGGGTGGTTGAAAAGTTTATTGCTTATAATCCATCTCGCAGTTCACATTGAAATTAATCATTGTTCACCAACTATTTAACTTGATAATGATAATTTAAAGATCGATAGTAAAACAATAATAATAATAATTATAGATAATAATAATAACAATAATAGAACAGTAGTAAAATCATGGCCAGTGTCACAAAAGGAAAGCTAGCTTTCCTTAACTTATTTATTAAATGGTATAAATTATAATCCTTAAAGCAGGTACTTATACCAAGCTATAACACTAACATAACCTATGTTTTCTCTTTGTTCATCAAGTTATTTTATATGTTCAACTTGGTTAGTTAGTAACAGATTTAGAGTGGTTTTGGTGGTATAGGTTTGTCGTTTTCCTACACGGTCCTATAGGGATTTTCCTATATGGATATAATAAATGTCTTCCAAAAATACAAAATATTCACCCTTATAACATACTCACTTACAATGAGGTAAACATATGGTAAAAATGTTTCACCGGTTACAAATCCAACCACACGCTTATCACCAACCTTGAGATTAAGAAATAGTTATTTTTTACGGTGTGACTTGACAAAATCTATAGCCAATGGAAAAGGTTTTCTTATTTACACATATTCACCCCATCATTCAAAGTATTACTGTATAGACTAGGTGTAAATATACCGAGTGGCGTTAGAAAAGGACTTCTATATTTTTGGATAGTGTCATTGAGTATACACGTAACGTGTATACTCAATGATAGTGTTCAAACGATTGCTTTGCAATGAAACTCAAGGATTAGCCATTAGCGTAGAAAATAGTTATTTGTGCAACTAGTGAGCAAAGTGAGCAATTGACTCACTCGAGAGAAATACTTACTCACGAGCCGTAGGCGAGTGAGGAATGGTTTCCGGAGTGAGGCAATTGCACTTTGCACTCGAGTTGCACATTATATTTTTCCTACAGATACTATAAAACAAATAAATTGGTAAAGAAACGTAACATATTTTTACACAGAAATGAACTTTTAATATGAAATTTAATGATACAACAGTACAACAGCTGACCAGCTGATTTACAGCCAGTGCTGCCAACGTATTTCGCGCGCATAAAAACTTGTTTGCATGTACGCGCACACTATATCGTGCCTTCACGTTGCAAATCTGGAGTGAGACAAAGTAACTGATGAGCGAATTGGCCACTTTGATTTCTCAAATCAGTGAGAGAACATGTACATTGTTAGGTAACTGTAGGAAAATTATATTAAATATTTTTTTTTACAAAGAAATATTATAGTCATCCTCTTCTCCATGAGCAAGAGCTAATGCTAAGGGTGGTGTTGTAACATGTTACAGTCTGAGTTACGGCATACCCAGGTCATAACACATTTCAACACTACTATTATGCCCTTGGAAGCCGTTATGTGTCTATTACAACTGAAATATACACGAGTATGGCCATAGCTTCTGAAGATCATGTGTGTTGGTAACAGTAGCATAAAACATGCACTTTTTCTTTAGTTGTAAACTATTATGGTTGTTTAAAATGTTCTAATGAACAAGGTTTTTTCCTCCAACGACACTAGCCACGAGCCCGGGACTATTTTACACATTACTTCAGGCTAGACCTAGGGGTTGCGGAACTATCACTTAGATAAAATCAAAGATTTGGTGGGATTTGAACCCGGAACCTCAGGAACTGATGTCCCCCGCCCTATGAACAACTCGCTCCCCCAATTAACATAGTTTTCAATCTGTGAAAGTACTTGCAGTCGATTATTTGATTTTGAAGACAAAAGGAATAGTATTAATATATTTGATGAAAACAAAAGATGTATAATTAGCATAAGTTGTCTGCATAGCTTCATGTAGTAATGTAATAAAACGTCGTACATAACAAACCCCAATGAATAATGAATAAATAAATAAACTAAATATTAAGTAAAGAAGTTGTACACATAAGGCTATGTGAACACTTACAATTGTGTGATGTTGATAATAGCCAGTTTTTCACTAGAAGACTGTTTAAAAATAGGCCAATAAGTATACAACAATTTAAAAAGTATTGTCAAAATAAAACTACAAAATTAGAATTGAAAAATAAACCCTCGAGTATGTATGTGGAAAGAAATGTAAAATATTGTGATAATGCTCCGCACAGAAGGAACTTTATGATAATTGGGCTCCGAACCACTCGGTTATACACAGCATTAGTTAATGGTTAGTTTTGAAATTGGCCCAACTAAAGTAGCACGTTATAATAATCGGACCCACTTCGGCCCATTATTCCAATGACGTTTGAATTGTACCCTTTTAAATTAAAGCTACACCTATTAAATCTCGATTATATATTACAAACCGGATTGTAGCAGTATCAAGAATTCAATTACTTAAGAACTGAACATTCTCTGCATTTCCAGTCAAGCCGTGCGACAATGCTAGCGCAGTTCTTGGCAATGATTCTGAAAGCTTTGGAATCCCGCACATAAAAAGGCAATAAAAGTAATTACGTTGGCTGGAGATTCACTTCAAACTCTTCTTGGTTACTGCAGGAGATTTGGAAACAGTTCAGAATTCGGACAGGAGGGTACAGACGTTTTAACATAAACATGGTTTTTGTGTTTTTTTTATAAACTTCATAATAGGTTTTAGATTTGGTAAATACAGATTGTGGGACTATTTTGTTTAACATTTACATATTTGGTGATTGGTTTAAACTAATTAGGAGATATTTTAGTTTTTGTTAGAATTTTTATGTTGGGTGCTATTGCAGTAGCAAATTTTACACATGCAATTTTGGATTAAATTATCTTACAATTTTCACGTTTATGTAAACTTGTTTCTACCTAATTTGTCGTTTCTTTACAAGGTGGGGATTTACAATGTAATCACTCTTAACTTAGGCCTACAATGGGAACTCCAAATTTACAATACAGAAACTTAATTTTATTAAATAACAGTACAAAAATTGATAGTAGAAAAAGGTATTTACAATAAGAGTTTACAATGTGGGTAGTTGAATTTACTAATTAAAAGCTGTTTCCTATATTACATTATATTAAATCAATTACTTATTAGTCTGCTTGGACAATTATTATGCATAGTTTTAAGACGATTGAGCATTAAGATATGGATTGTCATATAGACAAAAAAAAATGGTGAAAATTGAATTATTCTATGGAAAAATATCAGTGAAAATATTGAATTGTTACAATAACAAAAATGTATTTGAAATTATTGAAAATATTAACAAAAATAATGGGCTTACGATTATCAAAGAACATAATTTGGAAGTAAAGATCACCCCTGGTTAAAACTTTTGTCATAACTAATCTATTATTTTTGGGGAGCGAGCTGGCGTAGTGGCTAGAGCGCGGGACTTAGGTCCGTGAGGTCCCGGGTTCGATCCCCGCCAAGTCACCAATGGATTTTATCTAAGTGATAATGCCGCAACCCCTAGGTCTAGCCTGAAGTAATGTGAAAAACAATCCCAGGCTCGTGCCTAGCGTCCTAGGATAAAAAAAAATCTATTTTTTTTAATGTTAATAAATTGTAGAGTTAAATTTTCACTTCAACTTTAATTAAAAACAACTAACAATAAGCATTTCCCCCTTGGAAAAACACTACATAATTATAATCTTAGATTAACTGTTTCAAATTAGCCTAAAATCAAAAGAACATTGTTTGCTTCCATTATTAATTACTGTTAATTCTTATCAACCATAATTAAACGAGAAAATCCTTTGTTGGTAAAGCAGGCTCATTAAGGGAAGAGGATAACACTCATAGTAAACCTAATAAGTATAAAGATAGGGAACTTTAGCAAGTTAAATCCTTTAAAAGCAATTTCATGGGTTTTACTTGCAGAACATTAAAACACAAGATAAAGCATGATAACGAGCATGCTTTGTTTTGTTCTCTACATTTGCCAGATATAAAATTGCTCTTAATGCCTCTTTATGCGCAATTTTGTTAAGAAGCATATTTACAGAGCGTCTTATTGCTGGTCTGATAAGCTCACCTACACAACTTTCTTGTGAGAAATAAATGCAATTAATGGAGTTAAAACGTTTTCTTTTCTTAACTTTTGTAATTTATGGACACCGTATGATTACACAACTTATGGACACAACAATTAAAGCCCTCGTCATATGGTAAAATATTAAGTCGGTTCTAATAGCGTTATATGTTGTGGTGCCCAGTTGCACCGATGTTGTCTTATGTTTTTTTGTATTTTGTATCAGCTGTTATGATCTTATCTTTACTATCTTGGACATAATACCTAGGAACATATTGCTCTATTCCGTTCAAAAAGTTATAAAGTTGTTACAATGACAAATAAAATAGTAATCTACAAAATGCACTTTACGCATACCGTAAATGACTGATAGTAATTTTGTGCATCTAATCCATGAAGACAAATAATCTAAGTTAATGACGTAGCCCACGTGTCGGCCGAATTTCTAATCCATCTTTGATTGAAATTTCAACCCAGTAGTTACAGAAGTTATGGGTTCACCTGTACAAATCGATAGATAAAAACAGAAGTTTTAAATATTTAATATCCAACTCATGTTTTAGGACACCCAAAGCAGGAGTGGAGGTGGCGCTATCCTCGGTTCAACGAAAGGTCCTGAAGGCACAAATGGCGGAGAAGCTCCTGCAGGAAGAAGCGGATCCAATGAAATCCTGGATAAACCCAAGAATATTCTCTAAGGTAAGCCTACTGCTAATCGGTACTTTACTAGTCAATTTGAATATTGATATTGAGTCTAATATTGAGATTGCTAAAAGGTGTGCAAGACAATTTTTTGAGATTTTTCTGGAACATGGATTATTTGCTTAAGGAATTTAAAAAAAATTGGATTTAATGGATAAGACGACGTACTTGAATGCTTATACATAAATATCAGGTAAGTACCGGTGTCAACCATGGGCTAGCCATACCCTGGGTAAAAAATAATAACATACCATAATAAAAAACTGATAATTTTTCTAAGCTAACAGATAAATAATCTGTGATTATCTGTGATTTTACTCAATAAAGACTTAGAGGGAGGCCCTTACTGAATATTTATCCAAACTAGATGTAAGACAGTTGTTTGTTTACAAGTTATTTTAAAACAGTGTTTTATATTTACTATAATAGCTTATACATTCTTAATCCGTCACCATGAGATTTTCAATTTCAGAGTAATGCAGGCTATTTTCAAATACCAACTATTCTTCAAAAGGGACTAAAAGGAAGATAGTTGAATTCTCTTCTAAGTCTCATTGGTTCCTTAAATGTCCTTTTGGAAAACAATATTTTAATTAAACACTTGTTCATAACTTTAACAAGTTTAGTAGTTGTACCATTTATTATTTATAATTTCTGGAAAACCTAGATTTATTTAAATTTTCTCGACATGTTTGTTAATTGAGACCCGACGAGAATATTATTTCACTTAATCTCAACAAACTCGAATCATATTGAACTTTAATACCATCTTTGAGAGGCCTCGGGGGGGGGGGGGGCTTTTCCACTCATACAAAATGATCTATCACGTTCTATGCTGTTTCAAATAAATAGTACACTATTTACAGTAAGTGAAAGCAAACTCAGTCTAAGGTAGCAATTTCTTCTCTATGTTGCGAACGAAAATCAATCAGTTCGCGACAAGATGTATCAAATTATTTGCTCGTTTCCAAAACATAAATTGGGGTCCGCGCCAGCTGTGCTTGCGACAACGTGTGACAAATTCATTTCCTTCCCTATTTCTTCTGTCCACCCTCGGAATCGATGGCTTGATTTATTACAAGGGCAATAATACGGTAGGGGCAAGAAAATGCCAACAGAGCTGCTGAATAGCGAAATATTCCCTTGCATTTAGCAAGAACTATGCATCTTGTTTTTTACTTCTCGTTCTTTACAGACGGTCATTAAGAACTTTAGATTTACGATGTAGAAACACGGAAATTGTCTTTGTTCGTGTTTCTGTTGAAACTAAGAAACAATATTTACCAGGGTTGATCTTCCAAATTCAGAATTAGCCATGGGATTTGTTGGAAAAGATTTTATTTATAATCTTTTATACTCTACGATTTAAGTGTTCGTAATGCAACACTGTTAAAACGTGAGGAAGCTATAATTTTGTTCCATCGTCCCATGATAAGCGAATAAAACAAAGTAATTTTTTTTTCGGAAGTAAAAACTAAACACTATAGGCCTGTACCCGCGGGCTTTGCCCCGTTTAACTTCATAAGTATTCGCATGGCTCATTCACGTCCTGGTTGAAGTTCGTTCGCTACGCTCACTCACCTTTAGGTTGGAGCTCGTTCACTGCGCTCACTTGCCTTCAGGTTAGCTCGTTCGCTACGCTAACTCGCCTCCAGGTTGAAGTTCGTTCGCTACGCTCACTCACCTTTTAATTGGAAATTAGCTGTTGTCATAAATAAAAAAAATATATAGCACTGCACCCTGTTGGCAATCCTTGTATCTTTTATGCTATTGAACATCATAGAACAGAACCAACTTGTTTAATTGAAACTGCTGTTAAGATTCATTAATTCCTTTTAAATATGAAAAATCATAAGGTTAACATGGGGAACTACAGAGCCACTGGGGCGGAGCCCGAAAGGATTTTTGAGATAAGAATATGCTTTAATGTTAATCGGGAATGTGAGCTATCATCATGCCAAATTTCAGCCCAATCCGTCCAGTAATTTATGCGTGATTGAGCAACACACACACAAACAAACACACAAACTCACAAACTTTCAGATTTATAATATTAGTAAGATAATTATTTCAATAGCTGTAGGTTGTCAGATAGTAGTTTGTTCATACGTAGGTATTTTATTTCGTGTTTCATTCTGTTCTGTCTTTTCTCTTACTGATTATCGATTCAATTACAATTAAGTCTTTAAGTGTACTACGGTAATGTAGCCTACTGCTACTGCTACTCAACGATGGTGACAGTTCAGAAAGGTTACGTTAGGATTAGTGATTGCACATGATGTAAGCAAAGTTATATATTTTTCTACTATCGGATAAGATTTTACACCATTGAAATTTAAATTTCAATACTCTTTAACATCACTATTATATTAGAAAACATAATTGCTCGATAGCACAATAACAAAATTGCATCAGGTTACAAACTCAACACAGCTTCCAATCGATGAATTTATTCAATTAATAAGATTATCGATAAAGTGAATAACTCATGATTTTTTGGTTACTCAGTAAAAACATTCTTTATTAAACTAAAGTTCGTTCTCCCTAGATAGTACAGGTAAAATAATACAAAAACACTCCATATAAACAACAAAATTTGTACATTCATGAAATTTCACCTGTGAGTTACTAATAATATGAGAAATGAAGATCCGATGAGTCCCCAAAATTGTTGGCGTCCTAAGGCCCTTTTTGGGGCCCTTTTTGTTCCGAAGGGCCCTTGTTCCTGAATAATTTTGTTTTTACGTTTAAGGTCGAGTGAGGTGTGGTTTTCGATGGTTTTGGTTATTTTAAATCGATTGGGACTAGTTTTAAGTGTATTAAACCACTCCATACAGGGTGTTTCGAAATATTATTACTTTTTACGATATTTAAACATTTATTCATAAAGTGATAAAATTAGTTACCTCCATGCTCTATATAAAAGGGGATTATTGAAAATAACTGTAATTCTTTACTATATAAGAGGGAAGGATCACAAGGAGTAAGAGAAAATATTAAATATCCCCCTCACAGCAAACCTGTAGACTAAGCGAATTTTCATTTGCCCGATTTTCAATTAAATCTAAAATAGCATTGAGTTTTATGAATACTTAGGTTTGCTGCTACAAGGAGGCTAATAAAATGAGTTTATAGTAAAATATTAATAGCTTAGTATAAAACAAATAAATTTGACAAGTTTTATTAAGACATATCCATAAACAAACAAACAATATCATTTTACACTATTCTCCTTAAGAATAACATGGAATTTTAAATTTACAATTTTTGAATTTTATTCGTCACTAATAAACTTACAAAACTCGTTAATATACTAAACTATTTGTTTTCTTTAAGCTCTTTAAAATGCTCTAGAGAAAAATTGGGAAACTTATCTTTTGAGGGTCAAAGATTACAAATTTTTACCACATAAAACCCTGTTCCATGGACCGATTATTCCGGCTTCCTTAAAATGGAACCAAAATTACTGGAGTTATCATGTTTACGGACACATATATAACATGGATATATTATATTGTATATATGTATATAAACACATATATAATATTTTGAGTGGATGGTGCTTTAGGCTTCTGGGGGCATCGAAATGAAAACGTAAATCGGTTTCGGGTCTATGTTTTACCATAAGACCTTTGGTAATAGCTTATCTCCTATATGGGACGTTCGCTAAAAGGGGATGGATTAAGTTTTACACTATAACATAATAATATAGGTTACTAAGCAAAAATTTCAACTTTTAAGGTGGTGTGAATAATCTTTCGACGCGTTTTTTATGCAAATCTATTAAGACCAATTTCAAATTGACATGTATTTTTCTTAGGTAGTTATTTAAGTTATCTTTCTTTTACATTTATTAAAAATGAAAACAATTGTATTTGTATAAAACCTTACATTACATATTAAAATGAAGTACTTAAACTAAAGCCTTTTTTTAACAATTTCAGTAGTATCTCTCTTTACACTTTCATCATCACAATAATTATTCTCAGACGACTCATTAACAATTTTATTATTCTTAGTAACTTGTCCATCTTTACTGATTTTGTCCAAGTTGGTGTTCAAGCAGGACTCCCCTTTACAAACCTAAAACCTTGCATATTGCAGAACAGGCAACACCAATCTTAAAGCACGAATAATGTGGTGCAAGAACACCTTTCATACATACTGACGTTTGCAACTTGTATCTTAAGTTCCTCAAACTTATTTTCAATCAGTACAAGTACGGTTATCTTTCGTGGTTATGACGACCAGGACAGCACTAAGACATCAGAGCAGCATTGTCGGTACAAGCATTTTTGTCCTGAACAATGGGAACGAGGTTTATGGGGTAAAAGTTGGGTTTTCTTATTTACTTTACCCTAAAAACACAAAGTTTCCCAATTTTTCTCTAGAACATTTTAAATAGCTTAAAAACAAATAATTTAATATTCAAACGCGTTTTTGTATGGTTACTAGTTACGGATAAAAATACTAAAATTATTGTAAATTTTAAATTACCATATTATTCTTATGTAGAATAGTGTAAAATGATTTTGTTTGTTTGATAATAGATATATTTTGATCAAACTTGTCAAGTTTATTTGTTTTATACTAGGCTATTAATATTTTACTATAAACACACTTTATTAGCCTCCTTGTAGCAACAAACCAAGGTACATAATCGTTAAACGCAATGCTATTTTAGATTTAATTGAAAATCAAGTAAGCAAAACGAAATTCGCTTGGTCTGCAGGTTTGCTGTAACGGGGGTATTTAATATTTTCTCTTACTCCTTGTGATCCTTTCCCTTTACGTAGTAAAGAATTAAAATTATTTTCAATAATCCCCTTTTATATAGAGCATGGAGGTAACTAATTTTATTACTTTATGAATAAATGTTTAAATATCGTAAAAAGTAATAATATTTCGAAACACCCTGTATGGTGTGGTTTAATACACTTAAAACTACTCCCAATCGATTTAAAATAACTAAAACCATCGAAAGCCACACCTCACTC